GGCCGCTGCCACGTAGGATACATATTGCTGAGGTGGCGACATTATGTGACTGGTATTGCTGTTTTGTTCAGTCATCACTTCAGGGAGATATCAAGGTTGTTGTATCATCACTTCAGGAGGAGATCGGGACTGTGAGGAGGTTGTGATACGTACCTGGATTCTTTATGTTGACGAGGCTCCAGCGCTGATTATGGTCTGATAAGGTGCCACGTGGCACATTGTGACAAGACTTCGATATGTGTTCAGATTACTGGTTACTGTAGGTGGCGATAAAAGGAAGGAGCTCGGAGAAGGAGTGGGCATTGTGACTTCTTCTCCCTTGTCCTTCCTCCTTCCTTCCTCTTCGTCAGTGTATGATTATCTCACCTCTCTATTTCTGGATACTGTTTGACGTAGTCTGCTGACATGGCCTGCTGACGTGGTCTGCTAACGTGGCCTGCTGACGTGGCAACTCACCAATGCCGCCGCAGGGAATACCCGGATACAAACAGAAACGGAAAGGCGAGAGATGGCAGCAACATAGATGGGGAGGGGTGGGTGGGATAATCGCCCAACTCACACTTAGATAAGGAGCCACTAATCAAAATAGGAAAGTTTGAACTTTGCAAAAAAAAAATTCGAGAAAAATAAAAAAATAAAAATCCCAATTTTTTTTTTTGGCAAGTTCGGTAGGTCTCCCAATCTCCCCTAAAGTACAAAATGATCACTGAAAGTGAAAAAAAAAATTTGACTTTACACTGCGAATGATTTATAGAACTGAACGACAGAATCCTACAACTGCGAAAAAAAAATTCCGAACAGAAATGATACGTATTCGGATTTATTCCGATTCGCAGTTTGAAAAATAATAACGCAGGAGGTATTTCCCATACCGTTTTCAGAAAAACGAATTTCAGAGAAAAAAATATTCCGAATTTCTAAGTAACGGGAAATGCAACAGGAAATCAAAACTTTCGAAGAGAAAAATATTCCGGATTTTCAAGAGCGAAATTTCGAATTTTCAGAAAGAAAACGAAAATGGGAATTTCAGATGTTGTGATATTGCGATTTTCCACTACAGAACAGCGAGAAAAAAAAATCCGTGAAAAGAAAAAAAATTCGATTTTTGGTAGTAAGGTCAAGATCGTGATTTTGGGGTCTAACTAGTATGTCCTAATCAATCAATAAAGACTAACTAGCTTTTTCGTCCCCGCACACGTGTCAGATCAGGTTGTCGTGATTCACTTGCAAAGCTCCGATACCAACTGTTACATGCACAAATATGCCATGTACGTAATAACCGAGGAACTGCAACGTGATGAAAAGGACTGAATGGACAATACAGTGCGAGTAGAGTCTCGACAGACAATGTGCATTCTCATACATACAAAAGGTGTTGAATAGCGCAGGGAAGACTTTGATACAAAGACTGACCTGACAGGAACCAACCTCATTCACGTAGTTCAGAGTAGCGAAGCAGAATGCTAGAGTACTACTAACTAGCCCAATCAATGTTTGAACTCAAACTAAACATGCATGGTATCCATCATCAAGTGTGAAGGAGCCTGGCGCTGTACACAGGAAGAAAGCGCCAGGTCCAGACATACACAGACGAAGAGATAAGGATCAGACGAAAGGAGGGAGAAGGATGGGAATGTCTTTAACACCAAGTCTTGGTCACCAATCCCAAATAGTCCCTCGTTGCCATGTCTGAACCCCCAAAAGTCGAGTCTGGATCAAATGTCACCAAGCTCCGTATCTCTTCTCTCATAGTCTGTAGATGCAGTGAACTCAGAAGTTGAGAGGGAGAGAAGAGATGGTGGACCGAGAAGAAGAAGAAGAAGAACTCTCTCTCTCTCTCTCTCTCTCTCTTTCTCTCTCTCTATTACGAACCAGATACTAACCTGTGATGTTGGTGCTGTGCTGCAGGTACCTCGAAGACGAAGTTGGAGCAACGGCGCTGCAGGTAGGTACCTCTGGCCTCCGCCCAAGCTCTCTCTCTCTCTCTAGTACTACCTAGCTATGGCGCCCAGCGCTGGAGACTACAGCTACCTATTGCGCCCAGCGCTGAAGACTACAAGCTAACGCTACTACTACTACACTGCAGCGCTCCCTGCAGAGTGCTGCTCCCTAATCCTGAAGACTACAACTGACCGACTGCCTACCTCGGAAGTGCTTGGGAAGTCCTATGTACTACCTCGGCCTGCCTCCTGACTACTGGAGGGCGAGTCAGGCCGAGGAGGCAGCTCTTGCCAATGCCGAAGTGTGCCAGGGGCTGGCGTGCAGCAGCCTGCTGAGGCTGGCATGGGAAACAGACTAATAATAGTCTGTTCCCGAAACCCTGGTTCGGTGCTTGAGTTTCAGGGCCGGTCGTTCTGATGAACGACCGGAAATGACCCTTCGTTGCAGGCTAAAAAGGCTATTGCCATTTTTAGTCTGAAACGACACAAGGATAGGCCCTGAACTTCAGGCTTTCGGGCTGAGCCGACAGGGGGCCTGTAAGCCCTGGATTTCAGGCTTTCGGCCTGAAATTCAGGCTTTCGGCCTGAAGTTCAGGCTTTTGGCCTGAAGGACGCAGGCCTGCAAAATGGCCTACGTGTGCACGCGTAGCATGTAACACCCAGTCACGAACGAGAATCGGCCTTGGGCCTGAGGTGGTTGCATGCGCCCAACTGCCTTTGGCCTGTGTTCGGCCCAGTACACGTATCCAGCCCAGGGCCTGCTTTCCATACGTTCACACAGGCGGCCCAGGGCCTGGGTTCTCTCAACCAACTGGCGCTGCGCAACTGCCTGAATCTCCTTGAATTGCGTGGTGACCAAAATAGGGCCCTGAGGGCCTCGTCGAGCCTGCCTTCACTTAGGGCGGCCAACTTGCTTCAGATTGGGGCCATAAGGGGGCTGATAGAGGCATTGGCCTCGCAGGAGAAATGCAATGAACCCAAGTCATGAATACGATTGTTGACAATGCAAGTCCAGATTATCGAGCCGCTAGTACGTCACAGGCCACGTCAGCAGACCACGTCAGCAGCAGAGGATACCAGCAGGCCCCGGACGGTCTATGCTGTTGCGATCTCAAACAGCAGTCATGGACCAGAGGCCAGGAGAAGCGGATGAGGCCTATCAGGCCCGCATGCTGGCCTGGAGTATCGAGACTAAGAAACGGGCAGATGACGCTGCAGCAGCAGCGAAGAAGAAGGCAGAAGATGCCGAGCAGGCACGTCTGCTGGCGGTTGAACAACAGCGGCATCATGACGAGGCAGCAGCAAGGGCCGCCAATGAAGAAAGAGCACAGCGTCGTGAGAAAATATTTACCGGAGAGCGGGCGTTACTTACCATGGCAGCAGAATGGCGAACCGAGGCCGAGAATAGCCAGTTGGAGGATAGCGCAAACAAGATAGCACTCCTCCTCTCACATCTCACGGATCTCCTGGCAGCCTGCATTACACAGCAGGCAGAGATCCTTGGTCTCGACAGATCGCTAGCTCACCTCCAAGACCGTTTTCAGCGGTTGGAGCAGCGACTAGTCGCCGCCGCCGACGCATGCTCTTCCAATACTGCCGACCGCCTCAATGCATTGGAGATGCACGTCGGCTCACTCCAGGATGGCGCACAGTTACAGCTCACCGCGGCGCAACAGTTGCAACAGCGGGTCTGTACCACCGCCACTATCCCGAGTACGGAGCCGTGCGAGACAACTCCAAAGTTTGACGGGCAGGAAATCTTCTGCGACTCCATGAAGATAGATCCGATTCCATGGTTTCGCAAGTTCGAGCTCACACTGCAGCTGTCCAACGTCAAGGAACACAAGCATCACGCCTACTTGTACTCTCGCTCAGGGGGAGCGTGCCAAGCTTGGTTGGACAACCTCCTGTCCAAGTACAGAGTAGTAGCGGCCGACTTGCACACCAAGATCAGTTGGGATGATCTGAAGGCGGAGTGGCACAAGCGGTTCCGGGTGGAGCCTCCAGAGATCAAAGCCATGGACAAACTCATGGTCTTCGAGCAAGGCATGCTGCCGAGTACAGACTGGATCGCCGAGTACCAACGCTTGACGTCAGTCCCAGACATCCAGATGGGCTTCAAGGCCATCCGTCATTTCTTCATCTCAAGGTCATGTCCGACATTAAGCAATGCCCTGACTCATGTCGAGGACACCTTGACGACGACGGCGGAATTGTTCGACAAGGCTGGATAGATCATTATCACGAACAAGGAGGCCAAGAACCTCCGTTCATCTGCGTCAGGCCCGAGCAGGGACCAGCATCGGCCAAGAGTGGTCGTGGTCGCAGCGGCAGTGCCGTTAGACCAAACCAGCGAGGTTGTGTCTGCCAGTGAAGGGGACA